ATTCTAATGGTCGCGACCATTGGAATGTTGTTAATATTTCGCACCTTCCGAACTTTCTTGAATTGAATCTCTAGTCTGTATTAATTTACAAGTATAGCGAATCAGAAGAGTGTTGAAAGTTCAGTATAATATATATCTAATCATATTTTACAACTGTAGCACTGAGTTCAAAATGTTTGTTTACATTACGGACTTTACATCACCTTTAAGTTAATAAAAAAATAGCTTTATTTTTGTGTATGTATGCTAATTTTCTTTGCTGCTTTTCTTTCTCTTCTTTTGACCAAGAGTTCAATTTATTGACTGTAAAACCATGCAAATAGTAATGAGATATACAATAGGCAATTCCAGCTTTTAATTTATGCGCGCAGGGGAGGATGGGAAGTAAGGTATCATATTGCTGATTATGCTGAAAAAATAAAAATGACGGCCGTGTAAACACGGAGTGATAGCTTATCAAAGCTTATACTTGTAAATATTGAAATATTTCGGTTGTGTCGGCAGTTTTTATTGAAATGTTTCAGCATAATCAGCATTATGATACCTTACTTCCCATCACCCCCTGCGTGCAAAATTAAAAGTTGGAATTGCCAATTAGCTAAAAAATTTACCTAATAAATCAAAAGTAGAACGGTGGCCAACTCGGAAGCTTATGCTACTTTGGTCACCGTGCACAATTTGAATATCATAATTTAAAACTTTTAAATGTATTTATAATGTATTTATAATGTATTTATATAATATTTATATAATTAATTTACATAATTTAAATGTTTTATACCGAATATACATTATGAGTATTAAGTATCTATCTCTTCTAATGTAATATATACGCCAAATAGTGTGAAATAAATTGAACTTGAACTTGATGTAAACTATAAATCATCGTCGCCAAATTCGATATCATTTCGCAAAAAATTTTCTTTGTACATACAAATCACATTTCATCCAACATGGCGACAATATCTTTGCACCACTAGAAATTGATTCAGATTGATGATGCTGAATAGTGATCGCATGGCTTTTTTTGTGCAATTAATACTTATAGGGCTTGAAATTGCTCCCATTGAAATATCCATTTACAAAAAACATTGATCAGTCTGTTGTCTTATTGCCCATAACCCTCCCATATTTAATATTGTCTATTTGCAAAATTCCTGCAATCCATCATATTAGGCCACTATTTGTTGCATATTAGTTTCTCATCCGGGGCTTCACCTAAAGTTGATGCGGGCGGGCGGGCCATTACCATTATGCCATTATTTGTCGGATTTCCCCTCTCCGTAAATATTACTTTGAAAAAGTGCGCATTTAGCATTTATAGCATTGCAAAAACAGCACAAGATTAGTGAGTGCAACTGAGTATGTTTTCATCTTAAGAACATTGCCACATGTGAAATAATCACAGAATAGAGAAATAATTTTGTAGCCTAGTCGTCTCGCGTTTCAGTTTTCCCTGCCCCTGGCTTTCGGTAGAACTTTTACGTAAATGCGAGAGAAACTGGCAGTTTTGCAATTGGTATGAAATTTCGTATCTTAACTAAAACTTTTGGTTTGGGAACGTTTCTAGACTTTCTAATTGCATGTCTTTCTTTCAAATATAATTTTGAAGACATCACAAAATTTGTAATAATGGTCAAAAATGGCAATAATGGCAATAATGGCGAACAAGACAATTTTCTTAAAAAGCATGCGGGCGGGGATGAGAAACTAATATACAACAAATAGTGGCCTTATACACATATATAGCCATGTCATTCTGATCAAAATGCGATCTTAGAACTGCAGTCAAAGAAGTGTTATCGAGCCTAAAAATATGTCATTATATGCTGAAGCGACGTTAATTGTACGTATTTCCTGTTGTAATATGCTCTAATAGGGATAATATACTCTTTTCACTTGCTTTTGACTTGAGGTTAATTAAGGACTTATCTTTACTCCAATATAGTCATGTTGACTCCTAAATTGGAGTAAATTAGAAAAGGTACAGAACAACTCCAGTTTTGGAGTAAATTTTACTCCCGAGTATTTGAAGGCCGTTTTCCACTATACTCACTAGGCGGAATTTTGCGCGCGGAGCAGAATTTCTCTTTGTCTTTTCCTGAATTAGTTCCACCCGAGAAATCACAAGACAAAGAAAAATTCCGCTCCGCGCGCAGTATTCCGCCCAGTGGAAAACGGCCTTCAATTTAACTTCAATTTCGGAGTAAATATTACTCCACAATTGGAGTAAAAACTACTCTCTTGGGAGTAGAATAACTCCGAGAATGAAACTTTCGGACATGAAAATTCCCAGCTCTGTCCCATTTCTGGTAGGCTATAGTGACAATAACATCAGAACAGAAAATATAAGACATTACAGAATATATTAAGGAAAAGGAAAGGAAGCTATACAGATAAATAAAATATAAGAATTAAATTTGGCAACGGCAGACATAGCTAAACGTAAGAAAAACGATTTATACCATGGCATACAGTGCCAAGCTTGGAAATGAGGCGCATTTCATGTTTTTTTGCGGCTATATTGCTACCTGGGGGAATTCCCCGACGTCAATCATCCATGGTAATTTTTTCTAGGAAGTAGATTTCGAGGAAATCAAGGTGATGAATGGAATCTAGAAGAGTAAATTGACAATGCCAGTGGACGTTAACTCAGTACTTTCTCCACTTAACTCCTATATAATGTTTTCCTACAAGAAACTAAAGTCTATAACTGATTAATGTCTAGACATAAAGGTGAGTAATTTTGTGTATCTATCGGTCTTGTATACTTCAGATAAATTTATAAATGCGGAAATTAATAAAGCATGGCTTCAGCAAGCAATATGTGCACGTACGTTGGTTGGTAATGGCGCGGCTGTATATCATCCTAAGTTATTTAATTCTGACGAATGTATACACTTGGTCAATGACAATGTAAACCTCGGCAACATGTATACGATCTGGCAATGACGTGTAATGCATGGACTGCATGTCATGATTAATGCGTAGATCTCGCGCCGGCATTCCCTATTAAATACAGCGTGAATTTCCACCATGCAGTTATGGTGCTTTCCTTCGAATTAGCTATGTGAATTTGTACAAGTATTTTTGCTCGAAAGAAAAATTGCGAGTTTGAGTCCTGAAATGAGTCTTTACACAATTGTATTGTTTTAAAAACGAAAGGTCCACCATGCATGCACCTGCTGTTTACATGCATGTGGCTACACTGATATTTTCGTCGAAATGAGGTCGAAAGTGAAATCGAATCTTATAGAACATTAATACCGAGGCGCTCTCGCTTCACCATGCCGTGATTTCCTTACATTCTGAGTAAAAATGCTAAGACTGATCTAGTACAATTTCCGTGTAACAAGGTGTAACAGGGCGTATAATTTCTCCACAAAAATGTTTATGTCTGTTCGCATACATGCGAACGTGAATGCTCTGGGTACGAGATTAAGATTTCAGTTATCTATACCATTCCCTGTGTTCAACGACGCGGACTGACTTAAGCATGTACTGGACGGCACCGCGACGACGGTCAACAAACTTGTTGAACTATAAAACATATCAAATTGAGACAGGGCTTCACTATGCATGCATGTTTGAGAAGAGTTATACAACCAATTTGTGTAGTAGCATGCAGTTGTCCAGCGCACCTTAAAATACAGACGTCGGATAAGCAGTGCTGTAGAACTGAAATGATAACAAGGGGGTCTTAAAGGGGAAGGGGGGAGGGGCCGGGAGGGGGTAACAAGACGCGAGGGTGACAAGGCGTGGAGGATGCAACATGATAAACATGGAAGTTAAGTTCACAGGGGCCGGGCCGTAGCGAAGAGGTTATATAAAGCAGGGGGGGGGGGGTAGTATCGCATTCGTCGACAACATTTCAGTCGCTATAATTAATATTTCTTTTCCCAAAATTGTCGGCGAGCGGAGGGGAGGTGAAAAAAGTTTCCGGACATACCATTTTTCACTAACGTTCGAAATAATGTACCGTAATTTGTTAAATTTTCCCCTAATGTTTTCATAAATTTATCAAAATTTTTGTTCTTTTCAATCCAAGACACTCAATTATTTTCGCTAACTACGAAAACAATTTGCCGATAAATCCGTTATTTTGTCCAAACAGAACGATAAAGCCTGGTAATCAGACTGTAACAGGGGATAATGCCATTCTCGTTCCAGAGCCATTTTCACTCGGTCACTCGTTGAAAATTAGGCTATGGGAGATTGCTCCATTTACTGTTCTAGAACATTTGGAACACTGTTCCCAGAACAGTGTGTTGGTGTATTTACTCAGGTGAATATAATGCTTGTGATGTTACTCTGAGTGTATATCCACACCGTGCAAGCTTGAAAAATATGCCTAGCCATGGTGGCCAGATGAAATGGAGTACAGACGGTGTTCTGGAACAGTGTTTAGTTTCTTGTGTGAGGTTACTCTGAGTGTGTATATCCACACCGGGCAGGCTTGAAAGATATGCCTGGCCACAGTGGGATTCGAACCTACGACCTTTGGAACACTAGCCCAATGCTCTGCCAACTGAGCTACGCGGTCAGGACGGTTCGAGTATGCGATATTTCGGAACTGAGAGTAACCTCACACAACCTCACACTCAGAGTAACCTCACACTCAGAGTAACCTCACACTCAGAGTAACCTCACACAAGAATCTTATTCACCTGAGTACATTACACCAACACAGCAAGTGTTTAGTTTATTATATATGCGTGCAACCATGCATTACTATATTCATTAGTTATTCACATAATAAATGGTATAATGTTTGCTGTTATTTGTATATTAAGTATGCTTTTGCAACGTATATCTAGGTATGTATATCTAACTTATTATATAGTAGAGAGTGAGATACTGAAAAATACACAGTGAGATATTTTCCATATCTTCACTAGTGAAGATATAGATCACGTGACTTGGGACTATAAAATAAACAGAACATTACACGGTGGCTTGAAGATACGATTTTTATCTTATAAATCGTATATCTTCGCGCCGCCGTGTAATATCCTCTATGTATGTATTTAATATTTAAGTATGCTTTTGCCCAACTCTGGCGTTCAAATAGCATAAAATAAGTATATGTCGATATATAGCGGTTAACCTTTCAATATGTCGATATATAGCGGTTAACACTCTATGCAGTGTATACACACAATCTGTCGCCTCCATTTCCAATCGCGTGAAAATGGGCAGTGTCACGTGTTCTGTTTTGACTGCCCCTACTCGAAAATCGGGGTAGTCAGAACAGTTCAGAACAGTCATGTGACTGTCTTCATTAGTGTTCCGAAAATCCGGATTACTCCGAACAGTGAATGAGCAGCTTGCCGTTAGCCGACCAAAGGGAGAGATCTGATTGGATTCTCAGAGAACGGCTATTTCGCAGAAGTTGAGCAATTTTCGCTAGGCAAAATTATTCTATCAACTAACTGTGTACCAACATATGTCAACACAAATACTTCGTTTCTTCGTGATGCTTCACTGTGAAAATTGTGACGGGTGCTAAAGCGTATCAATTGAAAAGCATACGCTTTAGAAACCTTCGCAACTTTTCTTGCACTTCCAGTTCCGTGTGTCCCAGAGCCTAGGGAGGACGCGCGCGGCCGAGTGGCCTTGGAAACGAGGACGGGCACAATGCCATTGCGGAAGTGGCTTTTGAGCCATAATAGGACAATAAAGATCATATCCGATTTCGTCTGGGAATTAACCATAAATGGTGTCTGATGACTCACTGCTGATGAAAAGTGCGGTATTTTTTCTCTCTCCTCCGCAGAAGCTTAGAAGTGCTTAGAATGCGAAAGAGGTAAAATATTAATGTCATATAATACGGTAATCATTATTCGTACAGTATTTATACCGTCACGTGCATTAACGTCTAGGGCATTCATATTTCTGTCTCATTAGTTCTACGCCGCATCATTCTCGTTCCTAGGGCTTCACGGCTGCCTCCGCATTTATATTAAATTTGAGTGGGAGTTACATCACATCCTGAATAATTAAATATATATCAGTATATATTTCAGACTTTAGTATTTGGTCGCGTTTACTTCATCCAAGCTTTCAAAGTAACATGATAGCAGTTTAAACTGGTCTAAGTAAAATTGTATAATGTCTGATGTAAGCAATTAAATGGAATAATGCCTTAATGGAAACGTAAAATTCGAAAGCAGGTTGGTAGAACGGGAATTAGTTTAATGGATCGTCTTAAGGCCACGTCATATAGGGCATAAAAACTATGCGTTGGCATATATCAAATATGTTTACAAATCTCATTTCTTACAAAGGTTTTCGCTTTTATTATATGTTATCTAAAACGAAAACATTTGTGGGAAACGAGTGGTTATAACCTTTTTATAATTTTCATCATTACCACAAACTATATACGTACGGTTATTACAATTTTGTATATCTCAACTTGTGTTAAATATAATATTCGTCTTCTCGCTTCTACGCCTAGGGGCTGAGGATCATATGCATAATGTATGAGGCGGGCCAGTCCGACTAGCTGGGATAAATCGTGTCACAAAATGTTTTTCCCTGACCGTGAAAGTTGAACTTCGTTTGAATTAGGTATTTCAACTTTGGATGTTTATCGAAGCCAGGATAAGAGCTTTATTAAACGAATCATCATGCAGGTCCTTACTATAGTTTTGGAACAATGACGTAATAAAACAGCGTCACCAATTTGCTTTAAAATGCATTGTAAATCTTAGTCATATGAATCATGTGATGATGATGATTTAAACTTTATTTATATAACCACCACACTAACATTCTCACGGAAGCTTGTTTCCACAATGACGGTGTAAAACATGTGCGTCTCATTGACATACAGGTAAATTAATTATATAACACAAGTTTTTGCTATCAGATTTCCTGTCAAGTCCACATTACCACATTATATACACAGACTTATGACACTAAGAAACCAAAACTTTCTAGAACACCGAATCGTTTTGAAAACTTGTGCTTAATTAAAGAACAAAGATCGGAAGCTGGACTGCCGAAGGCCTTTCAATACTTGTGCTTCCACGTGAATATTAAAACGTCCAAATTCGAATTAAGGATAAAATTGGACAAGAGAAAGAAACGTATCTGATTATCAAAATATTTATCAA